TGCAAATACCGTGAAGAGGCATCGCAAGGATAAATGGAAAGACAGGCCTGAAATAATGCTTTTCTCACAGTATTCTGTACATATAGAATAAGTTATGTGCAAAAATGAGTGCTTACTACAGTTGGTCTCAACTTTTTAGAAACTCCTACACCTTTGTGAAGAGAGATCCAGTCACTGGTGCAAAGTGATCTCTGCCTTTGCTGCATTTTTTGTTATCAGAATAAAGAGAGGTGAATGAGGGCACAGTGATACGTTAAGTTAGCCACATAACCGGGTGCTTCAAACCAGTTTGTCTGATGTCATGAGTTTCCATTTGTCTTGAACAAATTAATCTGAAAATCTTATCAGTGATGAGATAAATATAAAATATTTAAACTCTGATAATCCTGCTCTAGGAATTTGTTCTTGATGATACTGTGTCAAACACAGGGATCATTTATTTCCTACTGAAGCACAATTCTGGATGAAATTAAATTATACTGTGTAATACATATGAGAAGGTGCAACTTCTGCTGCACATCCTGTTCCTGCTGCACTGCTGTCCAGTGCCCTTGTAGCTGTACACCACAAGATGCTCAGATTTAATCTGCCTGTCACATATTTGATGTGCTGCTGATAAAGGCGGGTGCTGCACTGGAAGGGTTCTCTGGTGAAGCTCCCCAAATGAATGATAAACTCCAGGATTTCACTATGGGCTTGAAAATACATGAAGAGGCAACAAGCACTGCTGTTGTCAGAAAATTGCAGTGGAGTAAAGTTAAAGATGTTTCACTTAGTGACATAGAAAGGCCGATCTGCATCTACATTTCTGTGCTGACAGTATCTCAAACTGTGAAAATCATGGATGAGCTTTGCATATATTTTGGGTTTGCAAAGGACTTTAAAGAGTTTTGGTGTTTTTCTTCAAATTAAATGGAAATAAATAATGGAGTAGATAGAGATGCCTCTGAGATGGGGAATTAATTTAATCCTTATTAGGCAGAAGAGAGTGCAGCAAACCTCTTGGCCTCATGGCACAGCTGATGAGGTGCCCAAGCTTTGCTGAGTTCTCTGGTTTGGAACACCCTCTATCAGGTGCCCTCTTGCAAGAATTTCTGTGGCTTTTCAATATCAAAGACCCCTGTCGCTCACATTGGTTCATGTGATTTATGGAAGGAATGGCAAGTTCTAACTTTCTTAATGTATTTTCAGTGATAAGAACATCAACTTAGATTTCTTTTTTCACTGTTGCAATTCATACAGTGTCATTTAGTAATCATTAACAGACAAGGTTGGTAATCCTTGACACTGGAAAGATTATTAAGCATGTTTCGGAGGGTTTTTTTTAAGCTCGAGTCTGTGACTGCTGGTAGAAAATTAATTTTTTCTTGAAATGGTAGTGAAAATAAAACCAGTTCAGAAAAACACTGTTCCATGTGTGGCTACTAACAGCATATGAAGTTCCTTTTAATCTTCTAGTAATTATGTGAAGAGATTTAACAAAAAAATAAACAACATTTTGACTCATAAAACCATCCCTTTATCCAAAGTTCTGTGGACCAACTAGGAAAGCTGGTTAAATGGTGTTTTATGAAGAGGTAGTCTTTTAAAATTTACAATATCTTTAGGTCTTCAAACAGAAGTGGTTGTCTTTGAATAGAATGAAACATGACTTTGACTGAAAAATTGTCATCCTTGATGGGTAGTAGGTCATGTTGATATTTATTAATTCAAGTGGTTCTATTCCTGTAAAGTGCTGCATCTAATCAGATTATGTCACCTACATGAAGCAAGTCCACCATGTCTCCCAGGATGAGCAGGTCACAGTTGGTCAATGTTCAGATGGGAGACCTATGAAGCAATCACACTGCATCAGCTAGCCAGCACGTTTCCTGCATAAGAGTTAGTGAGTCAGTATTCCTTCTCTTTGTCAGAGATAGCCTGCTGGTGGAGAAACCATCTCTCAGATTAGATGTAGATTTGAAGTTATGTCATTTTTAGTCATTACAAGTGCTGTGGCACTGCTGGTGCTCTTTGTCAGACAGAGACAGACTGCCCACAGGCTGCCTGCAGTAGAGCAGTTTCAGTGCAGTGTGGAATTTGGCACCTATTATTGGAAGCTCTTGGGTAGCTGCTGTGCCCCTGCTCTCAAGTAACATTGATGCATGACGAACACAAGGTGTTTGGGTAATCTAGAGAGAAGGTAGCATCTGCAACCTAATTGAATTTCTGTGTGTTTCAGTGGACAGCTGTGGGTTTGGCAGTTCTTTTTTTCGTAATAACCTCAGGTTCTTAAGTCATCTGAAATTGAAAAGTCTTACTTGGAAAAAAAGTTAAAAAATACATGTTCCAAAGTCTCAGGAGCTGCAGGCTAAATAAACAGAATTCCACCCATTTAATTACTGCCAGGCAATCTAAATATTTTTCCTTTTTTCTTCATGATTTTTTTGATGTTTCAAAATTGGATAATAGCTGCACTCTCTTTCCTTCATATATTCTCCTTACCTTGCAGAACTTCTTTCTTTTCTCAGCTCCTCTGCTAGGAGACAGCCACAGCCCTTCATACCTTCATCCTGAGCCCTCATGCTGCAACTATATATTGGTTCATGCTGTTGACCTATAGAGTATTCACAGTGCAAGTGCATTAAAATAGCAATAGGACCAGAAATGTGGCCAGACCTGTTTCATCTTAGCAGATGGGGCCTTGCAAAATAGTCATAGCTTCAGGAAGAAAGTGCCAAAGTTGCTAAGGAGGGTTTCTCAAATAAAGCTTTCTGTTGAAAAGAAGCGCTTGTTATGAACTCTACCTTTTGTCTTGTATGGCTTAATCTGCTTACTTTTGTTCCCTGTGATTTATTTAGTCTCACTTCATCAAAGTGTATCCTTGCAGTCTTAGATTGCTCCATACTTGTCCTGTTAATAAATTGGGTGATTTAAATATATGCTGCCAAAAAGACATGGAATTGTTTATAAATCTAAGAAAGCAGAAATTTCTATGTCTTTCTTCGGTCTTGAAGGCATATTTTAAGACATGATAGGCTTCTCAATCTAAGTAAACACCTTTGGTTGTTGTTTGAGAAATGTTTGAGATTCCAGGTTCTACTGGAAGTACAATTAATCAATAAGATTTAGGTACACCGATGTTGGGACAGTTTTTCAGATGTACTCACCTGCACTTTTTCATGTAAAACCTTCACAAATCTTAGTGGTGGTTCTATGGAAAAAGTAGCTATTGGGAATTAATTGTCCCTGCTAGTCTTAAAGGTATTTATCATCTTATTCTTTTAGCTTCAGCATGGAAATGACACTTTTCACAAATGAAAAAGTATAAAAACCTGTAAATAATACATATTGTGTTTCTTTTCAGCTAGTCCAGAGCTTATTTGCCCTGGATAGCTGATGGTTAAAGTGTGAGTGTAGTCACATTTCTCTTGCACATTATTACAGTTCTGAATTTGATTCTGCTTTCTACAAGTATTCACTTACATCCTCCTGCTTCAGTGGCTATTTCTGTAACAAATTCATTGCATGAGTGTGTGAAAATACTACAGTAGGACATGGGGAACAAAAGGAATGTAGACATAGTTGCAAGGTAATGCATTTAGAAATTCATATGGGATACCTTTCTGATTTTGCAATATTTGCCCAAATGACTAGGAAAAAACATAAAGCCCAAAGCTATGACGCTCACACTTTGTGCAGTTCAGAGTATACATACAGTTCATGTCTGGTCTTTATGTACAAAGTAATTAAAATGTAACAATATAAACATACATATAGAGTTGATGAAGAAAATACATTTTTATATGTATTTTATAGGAATATTTACCCACCTTGAAAGAAGACATATATCCTATTTGGAATACATTAATGTAATTTACAGTGTATCAATCTATAGCTTTATCATTTTACTTTGCAAGTCAAATAACTATTTTATTTCTGGTATCATCTTAATCTCAGACATGTACAGAATGGACACAAAGCTAGTTTTCGGTGTGTCAGTGTGCTTCCATAAAGTGTCACTCAGGTAACTTAGATTTCATGAAACAAAGAAAAGAGACAGTGTAAAGGAAAACACTTGCTCCAATTCCCTCAACCTGTACATGCCTGAAATATGCTGTGGACATGGAAAACATGAACAACGCCAGTATCAAGGGAATGACCATGCTGAGTCATGTCAGCATGGTCATTGTCCCTTTAGCCTTAAGGTGTTTTACATGGAAGTAGTCACAGATAGTCTGTTGTGAGTACTTTAAGGATGTATTGGCCTCCCCAAGGCTGTCTCTAGTTCATACATCTTATCCCAATTAGAACACGTACAGTTGCACTTTGTTGGCCTAACTTTGCTGAAAGAGCGAGGTGCTTTAGACTTGAATGGGGAAATCTTGATGCCATTGAAATAAAGAAGAGTTCTGAGGTGGATTTTTCTGGAGCCAGACTTTCACACTTTGCCATGGTGCTATGAACGACATTCATCTGCATTAGGAATTCTGGGTTGTCACTGTGGAGCTCAAAGATTTTGGACAGAGATGTTGCGAGGTCTGTATCTGTTTTTAAAGCTGGGTGTAGTCAGATATAAAGAAATAGTTAACTTGAGTTGCAACAGTAGGCTATATTGTGGGGAAATCAATTAAATCAGTGCCTCTGAAATGAGATATCATTATGTTCAAATCTAAAAGGAAACAGCCGTACCACCTACTATGCCAAAGCCTTTTTTAAACTAATACTAATCTCAGCTTCCTGCTTTATCATCATACTGCTATTCCTCCGCCTGTCAGGGACCCGCGATTCTCTGGGAACTCATTTATAGTACTGCTTCTGTGGCCTCTCCTGAACTCATTTATAGTACTTGCTCCTGTAGCTTCTCTCATATGTCTGTTATTCTTTGTGTGAAGCAGCTCCTCTTTTATTTCAATCATTCCAGAAAATTCAGCCTTTCAGGGGGGATGGAGAGGAGGGAGAGCACCTCTTACTTTGCTGTGCTGTTTTACCATTCACCTTATTTGTATTTTTCTTCTCAGAAAACCAAAAGGGATGTAAATAACTTTGATCAAGACTTTACACGAGAAGAACCAGTATTAACGCTAGTGGATGAGACAATTATAAAACAAATCAATCAAGAAGAATTTAAAGGGTTCTCTTATTTTGGAGAGGAGCTACTGCCATAAACAACGTTAGGCTGACAGATGAATGATGCTGCAAGAAGTGATTCTGAAGAGATCGTCAAATTACTGAGACTCAGTAGATCAAGAACTACTTCTCTTACCCTGAGCCCATATCCCCAATTAAAATATATATTTATTGGTTTTTTTCCTTTAATCTTCTGACCTGAAAGCACTCTTAATTTCTGTCTCACAAAGCAATGCAAAATAATTTTGTATCAGAAATTGTAGATGTAACACACTGCCGTATGTTTGCAACTTTTCTTTTATTCCTAAGATCTCCCCAGAGGACAAAATTGCATCCTTTCCATGGAAAATGAAGCCATGCTATTAAAAGTGATTTAGCAGATCACATTCTGTAATCACACATGTATTTAAGCTAAGAAAGGTGAGAGCTGTTTCGTCTGCACTGGTGGTTATGGGGAGATCTGTACCCAGAGGTGGAACAAATAAGTAATACGTTACCCTTTGGTAAGCAAGGAAGTCTGCCTTCGTGGAGGTGTAATCCTCGACTGTGAGTTTATTGTGGTGAGGTACAAACTTAAAATAAAGCTGTCCAGAAATAGAAGCACAATTATGGCTTTTGATTAAATTCCTCATACAATTTATGGAAAACTCTTAGGAATAAGAAGAGTCACAAAGATAACTGAAACTTTATTTGAAGCAAGAAACAGATATTATATGGATAGTTATTAAAGGGCTAAAGAATAAAAAGCCTATAGTGCTTTAACATAGCTATATATAGGTATTTTACAGTTTTTCAGGCAATTGGATGTACTATCCATGTTACCAAATTTAATATCCATTTAAATGAACCATTGATGTGATGGCAAGCTTGCAAATGTTTACAGTTAATTTTAAATAAAAATTAATTATAAACATTATAAATTTGCCTTTTCCATTGTAGTTAAGCTGATACTTTCTTATTTATATTTATTTTCTCAGCAGTGTGTTACTTTTGCACACTTTTACAAAACCATTATACTACTGTGTTTGTTTTTTATGTTTAATATCTAAAGAGAAATCTGCTTTTAGAAGACACAAAATAAGGCTACACGTGCATTATGTGGAAGTGTGGTAAAAAATTGAAGATCAAACATTCACAAACTGACATTATTGAAAGTTGTAAATTGAATTTTTTTGTGTATGAATTGAAATGGTAACTCATGTGGACAATATTACTGATGTGAAGTTACCTCCTGTAGATACGCTAACAGTGTTATGTACTTATATTTCCAGGAGTACCCTGTGGTTTGGTTTGTTCTTTTTTTTTTTTTGTGTACATGTATCGCTGAGGTCATTTTATTATATATTTTACTGGACTGAGTGAGCGGTCATTGGAATCCATTTTAATTGTTGCACATGGATTTCCAGCTGCACAAAAATATATATACTTGTGATTGGCAAAGTGGCACTAAAGAAGCTTTTTTGCCTTTTGTACAGGTGAGATTTTGTATATAGTGTTTGCTGCAAGGCCTGTGGAATTCATTGAATATAGAGGTATCAACTGCTGCATGTTCAGGCATACTATTAAAATGTTAGTCTATGAAAGAATAATTATAATAATGTCCATGTGCAATACTCTTGTATGTGTATTGGTTCAAGTTACTGTCAGAGAGATGAGGTTTTTGTTATAAAAGATGTAGACATATATTAAGCTATACTAAATCTCTTGTATAGTTCTCTTCAACTCTATTATGACATGATAGAGCTCAGAAAGAGAAAGGAATGTTACAAATCTTGGTGGACGAAGTGTGAATCATTGGCTTTAAGAGATAATCTGGGTCTCAAGCAGATGACGTAGTTTGTGTCAGTTTTGCGTCTGGCTGCTTATAGCCTGTTACTGATGACAACATTCAGTTCCATTTTGTTTTGTTTTTAAAACTCAGGTGTAATTATTATATATATTCTTATGATGATTTCAAAATATTAAATATTATGATATATCAATTAATGTGTTGTCTGGCCTACAGGTGTAATAATGGATCAAGCCTTTAGTTTAATTTAATTTATCTTCAGTAATCTTTTGTACTGGGAAAAGACTAGCTTCTGGAGCTGAGTACCAGCACAGAAACATCTTAATGATTGCATCATCTCAATATTTAAATTTCTTTCTCTTTTAGAAATATATTGCAGAACTGCCCATCAATTTCTGTCTCGCCACTGGCTCTGTTTATTTCCCATCACGGTTAGCTTTTGACATCCAGGCAAGAACTGATCACAATGCTAAAGCATTCTTTTCCATGGGTGAGTAGACTGGCCAGGAAGACAAGTTATCAGATAGTGCACTACTGTTTGTAAAACAAGAGGCCTTTACATAAAATTCTGAACGTTTATTTTGAAGGAATAAAAGCGTCCCATAAGTCTTTTGTAAGCAAGCTGTGTAGTCTGTATTCCTGTTACTAAGATGAAGATAATTAGCAAACATTTATATTGGAAGAGGCCTCAGCACCTGCAGTGTTTGGTAGGATGCTAAGAGAAAAGTGAAGGAGATCAAAACTTTTGCATGGGCAGGTATTTCTTCAATATAAATAGATCCTCTGCATTGGGTTTACATCAGAAGGTTTGTCTGTTACCTTGAACATTTTTTTAAAGATAATTCTTAAAAATGGCAATTCTGTTACATTTCTGCCTGTTCTGTAAAATCTTTCCTGTTCCTTCTTTGTAAAATGAGTGCAAAATGCCAAAAAGATTATTAATAATAATAATAATTATAAAGAATCCATTGTTTCTCATTTTTCCTCCCAAATAGACTTTATTAAAAAATTAAAACACATTTTTCTCTATAGGGTGAAAAGTAATTCTCTCCAAAAAAGGCTTAAAAATTACCTCTTTTTAAATTATGTGTGGAATAGTTCTGGCTAAATATAAAATGCATTCAGTTGGGGGTAGGGTTTTTTTTTATTGTGAGGATTTATTTGTACAGAATTTTTTCCTTATGGATGTAATTTGAATCTCTTGCCATTCATTAGTGTTATTTCATCGTAAACATTATTACTGTGCCAAATGTACTGTATTCAAAAGGATGTGAATGTGTATTGTTTCGGAACCTAATAAATACAATGATGTTAAATCTTATTTTTTTCCCCAAAGTTTTCCTGAGTATTTCGTAATGAGGAAGAAAGAGAGATGAAGGATGAATATTTTTCCTGTTACATGTTATACAAAATACCATGAGCTTGTCTTTTAGGAGTGGACATTTTGCAAAGGAAGGATTTGCTAACAAGAACCTCATCTGTGAAGCACTGAACACTCCAAGAGAAACACAGGTAACAGTGAGTCAACACTATTTATTTTGGTTAATGTAACATTTACCTCAAAAACACCAAGCAGGTGAGTTCACAGATATTTCTGCTTACCAACTACATAAGGGTCATTGAGTTCTGACTGATACCAGCATTCTGCTTAGCTGCATTGTTAAAACTCAATTCAGTGGAGCAATCTGTGTACAAACACTTGAGACTGCTTTAGTCTTTAATTGGATTGGAGTGATTAATAGTGTGCATGTGTTTAATTACTTAGGGTCATATTGCTTATTAAATGATTAATTTACCTTAATCTGTCAGTGTGACATTGTCTGAAATATTTCAACTTTGGTTGAGTTTCAGTTTGCACCTTAAGTACCTTCCATTTTCATGGTTTAAAATTCTTAGCTTCTGTTTCAGTAGATCAGCTATGAGGATACTCTGGCAGTAATGCCCATTAACAATAATTCCAGTTAGATATACTAACTAGCTTTAAAAAAATGAAAAAAAAAATTTAAGTGTGTTTTTTGTTCAAATTGCAACTTTTGCATAAACCTCCATTCTTTCTCCTTCATGCTGAGTCTTCTTGAAGTCACTGAACATGTTTGGTGCCTATGAGCATATTCCAAATCTTGTGTGTTGACAACATTAGCATAAGCTTTGTCACACAGATTTTACCAGTTAAACAACTATGTAACATCCTGATTTTCTGGATATGTTTTGCAACCTTAAAAGCATATGAAAACTTAACTGTCACCTTACAAACAGTAAGTGTCATTGGTCTCCAAATACATCAATCCATATCATGTTTTCTCATAATGCTGTAACTGATGTCTATTAAGAAGAGTTTTTATCCTTGCTGCTGGACTGCAAAATTTGGGAAGACAGCATCTTTTGAAGAGGAATGAGTTGCAGTCTCATTGACTGTCCATGCTGTAAATGTGGTACTAAAAGTTCAGGGAGAGAGTCTCGGCATGAATCTGTCTGCTTCTGTGGCCTTCCAAACAGGGGATGTTAGATCTCTTTACAGTCAAAAATGGTTTTAGCCTCTTAGTAGTCTGGTCAGGTACATGAGTAAATCAACTTGATAAGCACCTGGACAAACTGAACAAAGTCAGAATAATTATCCAATAGTGAATTGAAGCATTGAATAGGTGGATGTATCCTAACTCAAAGAAGCTACAGAAATTCAGCTTGGGTCTTCATCTTTAGTTAAAAATACATGGGGTGAATATGCTTCCTCCCAGGCATGAGGAGAAAATGAGGATAAGTTAGATTGGAGTGGACCTCTTATAGGAACAAGAAACTGTTCATCTGAGTAACATAAATAAGGTATTCATTTAACCAAAAGTGGGAGCAGCTATACGGGGTCAAACCAGACATCACTCAGGTCAGGTATCCTGCTCTTGGCAATGGTCAGTAGCTTAAGCAGTAATATACACTGATTAGAAATCAAGAAGTCAGCTTTGTTGGTAGCTATAGCAGTATAAAAGTCTAAGAAATAGAAAATGCCTGTGAAAAAAATCTGAGAACAAGAAAGCACGAGATAGTATTCTGCCTGCAGCAGTTTGACTCCATGATGTTATGAAGTAGATGGTCTTTGTTATATTTGATATCTCTGAATTAACTTTCTTTTAATCAGTCGAGTTTTGAACAATGTCAGCTTTTTGTGGGAAAGAGCTACACAGCTCAACTAATCATTATGTTAAAAATTATTTCCTTTTGTTTATTTTGACCAAGCCATAATTCCATTTTATATTGCTTGGGTCTTTCTTTGAAAGAGGAAAAACAAACATTTGCTATTCACCTTTTTTCTGCCACTGATACATCCTTCCTCAGCCAGTTCTTTTTCAGACTGAAAAGTTTACCCTGTCTGTAAAAGGCTTCATAAAGGCACATCCAATGTTTTTGGTCACTGTCAACTTTCTATGAACCTTTTCTAGTTCTACTGTATCCCTTTGGAAGATGGGGAGTAGAATTACATGTAATATTCAGTATGTGGATGCAACATGGATTATTACAATGACTACTGTGTTCTGAGTTGTTT